GAACAGGAAATTCATCTTCATGGGTTGTTTTTTTCCCTGATTAATGTTTAAATTAATCTGCCCTCCCAAATCTCTGCAGTTTGATGGTGGCACTGAGAATGACTGATATTCTTAGTCACAAATGGCTCTTTTTTTTTTTTTGGTACCAGGGATTGAACTCAGGGGGACTTAGCCACTGAACCACATACTGAACCTTTTTTATTTTATTTTTTTTAGTGCTGGGGAATGAACCCAGGGCCTTGTACATGCGAGGTAAGAACTCTACCAACTGAGCTATATCTCCAGCATCCTCTGAGCAATTTTTAAAAAATATTTATTTTTTAGTTTTTTTTTTTTTGGGTGGACACAATATCTTTATTTCATTTTTATGTGGTGCTGAGGATTGAACCCAGTGCCTCATGCATGCCAGGCGAGCGCGCTACCACTTGAGCCACATGCCCAACTCCTGAGCCATTTTAATTTTTTCTATTTATTTTTAATAACACGTTTATTTTATTTATTTATTTTTATGTGGTGCTGAAGATCGAACCCATGGCTTCATGCATGCTAGACTCACACTCTACCACTGAGCCACAACCGCAGCCCTTTTATTTTTTATTTTGAGACAGGGTCTCATTAAGTTGCTCAAGGCCTCATTAAATTGCTGAGACTGATTTTGAACTTACAATCTTCTTGCCTCAGCCTGCTGAGCTCTGGGATTACAGGTGTGCATCACTATGCAAGGCACAAATGGAAAATTTGAAAGCAAACTTTGCAATATGGATTTTGGTATCAAAAATATCCACTAAAAGCATTAATACCATCATATTCTCTCTCTCTCTCTCTCTCTCTCTCTCTCTCTCTCTCTCTCTCTCTCTCTCTTTTTTCCTATAATACTTAGGGTGAAACCCAGGGTCCTCTACTACCAAGTAGAGCCACTTCTATTTTTCATTTTGAGACAGGGTCTCCCTAAATTGCCCAAGCTGTCTTTGAACTTGCAATCTTCCTACTTAGCCTTCTGAATTGCTGATATTTACAGGCATGCACTACTGTGCCTATTGTGTCCAGCTAATTCTTTAATCCTTTTTTCTTTAAAATATGGAATGCTTCATAAATTTGCGTGTTGTCCTTGCATGGAGGCATGTGCTGCCAAAGTGAGGACTAATTCTTTCTTTTTTTTTAATATATATTTTTTAGTTATCAATAGACCTTTATTTTATTTATCTACTTATATGAGGTGCTGAGAATAGAACCCAGTGTTTCTTCACACATGTCAGGCAGGCTCTCTACCACATTATGCAATATTATTATCCAATATTATTGGATAATCCCAGCAGGTGGGGAGGCTGAGACAGGAGAACAGAGAGTTCAAAGCCAGCCTCAGCAACAGTGAGGTGCTAAGCAATTCAGTGAGTCCCTGTCTCTAAACAAAATACAAAATAAGGCGGGGATGTGGCTCAGTGGTCAGTGCCCCTGAGTTCAATCCCTGGTACCATAAATAAATAAATAGAAATTATTGGATGATGAGAAAGGAGAAGCTGTCCAAAGAGAGAGAGAGAGAGAGAGAGAGAGAGAGAGAGAGAGAAATACTCAATGAATAACAATTTAAATTTGTCTTGATTTTCTTTTGTACCAAATAAACATTGGGTAGGTTAACCAGATAAAAGAGAGTAGAATTGCTTCATAAGTAAGATATCATGGGGAGGTCAGCTCTTAACATGGTGATTTAGAAACTTAAATTTATAGTTGTCAACAAAGAGAGAAAAGAAGAGTAGGTGTGCCAACAGCTACATGACAAATAGAATACTGGCCCAAGGGAATCAGGGCAAGAAACCTTTATTCTGAATAAGTTAAACTTTTGTTATCATTCCTAATCAAGATTTGGAGAATTTCAGCGGTTAGACTAAAGACCAACTCTAGCTCTTTTCTCATGTTTGTGAAGAAATAATCTCATTGGCTTCTAAAGGCTTTTGGATTATAAAAGTATTTGTTCTAATCAGTGTGACACAAACCACTATAAATCCAAAAGTTGCTGGGTGTGGTGGTGCATTCCTATAATCCCAACAATTTGGGAGGCTGAGATAGGAGGATCCCAATTTTGAAGTCAGCCTAGCAACTCAGCAAAACTCTATCTCAAAATAAGAAATAAACAGAACTGGGGAGGGGCTGGGGTTGTGGCTCAGAGGTAGAGAACTCGCCTAGCATGCGTGAGGCACTGGGTTCGATCCTCAGCACCACATAGAAATAAAATAGATGTTTAAATATTAAAAAAAAAAAAAAAAAGAACCGGGGATGTGTATACTGGTAGAATGCCACTGGATTTAATCCCTAGTACCACCAAAACCAAACCAAAACAAAAAATTAGTCATGCATGGATATTGGCAGAGCTCAAGACACAGAATATCAGAATTCAAAGGAACTTAAATCAGGTTGAATACTGAGTATCCCCCCCAAAAAACCCTGCAAGTCTATAAATGTTCTGATTTCATGTATGTGTATATTTAAGCCAAATGTTTTGAATCATTTAGCTGAAAGCAAAATGATTTAAAACAATCAATAGCCTATAAAAATGAAGGTCACTATTGCCCCCTTGTGGGCATGACAGGGTCAACCTTCATTGAGAAGTTATAATTTCATTTAACAGCTGTTATTTTGAAGACCTTGTTAAAAAAAGGACACTGAAATATAAAATCTCAGTCTCAACAACTCATAAAATTGGAATCATTATATTCAAATTTTACAGATAAGTAAATGGCCACAGAGAAGAAGTTTTTCGGAGGTCAAGAGAACACAGTACTGATTTCAAAAAAATCTGTCCATATTATGTACATGCTTCTTCTATTTTACCAGATTGCTGCTCAATAGTAGTATCTCATTCAACAATGTTCCTTTGATGTTATACAAATTTAACTGGGAATTCAGTTATTTATCTACAGTTTTTATTTAGTTATTTATAGTTTCCCAGACTGGATTCAAATTTATCATCTTCCTATCTTAGACTCTCTGGATTTACAGGTGTGTGCCACTGCACACCAAGCTTATTTATTTTTTAATGAAAGTCAGAAACAGAAAAAGAAACCAAGAGACAATTGGAAAACTTACTAAAATTAGAACATGAAATCAGGTGTGGTAGTGTATGCCTGTAGTGACTCAGGAGGCTGAGGCAGGAGAATTGTAAATTTGAGGCAAGCCTCAGCAATTTACTGAGGCCCTTAGCTAGACTCTGTCTCAAAATAAAAAAATACAAGGGCTGGGGATGTAACTCATTGGTAAAACAACTCTGAACACCCCTGGGTTCAATCCCCAGTATTCAAAAAAAAAAAAAAAAAAAAAAAAAAAAAAGAACTTAAAGGACATAATTTCCTGCATTGAAAATAAATATTTGGGGTACTCTATTTTTTTGGTACCAGGAATTGAACGCAGGGGTGCTTAACTACTGAGTCACATCCCCAGACCTTTTTATTTTATTTAGAGACAGGGTCTTGCTGAGTTGCTTAGGACCTCCCTAAGATGCTGAGGCTGGCTTTGAACTTGCGATCCTCCTTCCTCAGCCTCCAGAGCCACTGGGATTATACTGGGCCCAGTATTTGCAGCACTTGTGCCCCTCCCAGGCGTGCTGCACTGGGAGTTCTGGGGCTTTTTTCTTTCTTTCTTTTAAATTTTTTTAGTCATTGATGGACCTTTATTTTATTCATTTATTTATATGTGGTGCCGAGAATTGAACCCAGTGCCTCAAACATGCTAGGCAAGAGCTCTACCACTGAGCTACAACCCCAGCCCCTCACCTTCCTTCTTAAAAATATTCCTGCTTGCTTGAAAGAAAGAAAGAAAATATTCATAAAATGAGATGTTGAATTTGTTCCTTTTTAAATAGAAGTTTTTGTTTAAAACATGATGGTTTCAAAACATCAACACCAATACTTTTTTGTTTTTTAAAAATATGCTCTCAATGGGCTGGAGTTGTGGCTCAGCGGTAGAGCACTACTTGCCTAGCATGTGCAAGGCCCTGGGTTCGATCCTCAGCACCACATAAAAATAAATAGATAAATAAAGATATTGTGTCCAACCAAAAAATAAATATTAAAAAAAAAAAATGCTCTCAATGGAGCTGGGGTTGTGGCCCAGTGGTAGAGCACTCGCCTAGCATGTGTGAGGCACTAGGTTTGATCCTCGGCACTACATATAAACAAATGAACAAAATGAAGGTCCCTCAATGTCTAAAACATTATTAAAAAAATATGCTCTCAAGACCAAATTAAGTCTCATAACAATCACATGTATCTCTCTTTTGTGTGTGTGTGTGTGTGTGTGTGTGTGTGTGGTGCTGGGGATTGAACCCAGGCCCTTGTGCACCCTAGGCAAGCACTCTACCAACTGAGCTAGCTCCCCAGCCCACACACATAGCTCTTTTATATCAGCAGTTCAACAGTTATTTATGTTTATTCCACTTTGTTATTACTTTAGGTTAAGAATGTTTATTTCCTTTAACAGTACCATATTGAGGCACCCTTATGTTTTCATTTTGGGGTCAGACATAAAGCTTCAATAGACAAATCTGTGGAATATTTTTCTTTTAACCTAAGTATTTATGTATAATCCCTATGTATGATCTTCCCCTCCTCCAGAAAGAATAAGTGTCTTTGCTTTAAAAGCTTTTATTTGGGCAATATTTTATTTTAAAATATTTTTGCTGGGTTGGGGGTTGTAGCTCAGTGGTAGAGTGCTTGCCTAGCATGTGTGAGGCACTGGGTTAGATACTCAGCACCACATAAAACTGAATAAACAAAATAAAGATATTGTGTCCATCTACAACTAGAAATTTTTTTTCCCTGCTGGGGACTGAACTCTGCGCCTCAAGCATGCTAGGCAAGTGCTCCATCTCTGAGCTACATCCCTATACCTGTTTGGAGAATATTTTAATAAAGAAGTGAATATCAGACAGAGTACTCATTCATCTCTAGGAAAACGAGGTTTTATTAATTTTTAAGTCTAAAATAAGTGCCACGTTATGAGAACGTTACCTGAGGTTGTTTTGGTGTTGGTTGAAGAAACAAGGCTAGCAAGGTTAACAACCTCTCCTGAGGTGAAGATGAATGGGGCAGCCACAGTCACAGGGTTAGGCACAGAGTCTGCTCTCTCGGGATGAGCATTCCCCTGATTCTGCATTGCTTCCTACCAAACAAAGCAGGATTCAAAGTCAGAACACTTATTAGCTTTAGTTATAGGAATAGTACAAACTCCCTCCTCCTCATGCTCTGTCAAGCAGAACTAGTTCTGCTTGACAATGTCCCAGGGAGTACAGAGTTTTCATCAAGACTGCTTTTGTTTGTTTGTTTTTGTTTTGTTTTTCTCAAACCACAGCAACAGAGATGTTAGATTGCTTTCCCAAGCTTGTTTCTACTTGAGAAAAGCAGAGGTATTTTATTTGCAAAAACTCATAGATAATTCCCTTATCCTCTCTGGATCTTTTTTTTTTTTTTTACTTAAAAAAAAAAAAGGAGGGGAATTGGTCTGAATAGTCTAAAAAATAATTTATAGCACTAATATTCTGTGATCAATTATCTACAAGACAATGTGGTAGCAGGAAATCCCTGTAGAGAACTTACAGAGAAACAATATTCTCTAGAGTTTTGTCCAACTACTTGTTCCATTCTGCCATTGAATAAATCCCTAAGGGACTATATAACGAGCAAATAAATGAGTGCCAGATTTTAAAGTCGAGTTCCATATGCTGTACTTTTGCTTCCATAGATTTTGGTGAAAAAGAAGCTCGTCATTATATTTTATTTTTTAAACTTCAGAAGTTTTTTACAAACATGATCACCACTAAAAAAATTCACTTATGAAAAGGCTCTAAACAAGAATTGAAAGTCGAAGAAGAGAACCAGTCTTTGGGGAGTCATTTGTCAGAAAAAAACTGAAAATGCAGTAGAAATGGTTATTTTTCACATATAATGATCTCTTTGAGAAGAACTTCAATTGAAAAAGATTATCTGTTCTCTGAATACTGCTGAATTCCCTCTTCAGTACACCATCATCTATCCTCCACTGTTATTTCTTTAGTTGAAGCCCTCATTGGCTCCCGCCTGGCCTAAGGAAAGTCCCCTTATGGTGATTTAGCATTGTCTTCTCTCTCCAATCTGTGTGCCACATTCCAGTCATCTTTCAAAAACAAGATAATCTTATCAATCCTCTATTTAAAAGCCCCTAGTCAGGGGCTAGAGCTGTGGCTCAGTGGTAGAGTGCTTGCTTGGCATGTGTGAAGTTCTGGGTTCCCTCCTCAGCACCAGATATAAATAAATAAAATAAAAAATCCACTGACAACTAAAAACTATTAAAAAAAAAAAAAAAGCACCAGTGGACCCCCAAGTGCCCACATAATTCAAACTCCTTCAAAGGTAACATCCTTATATTCAGAATCCAGTCTAATTCTCAAGCCTTAGCTCTGCCACTCCCAAACTACACTTCCCTTTACCCATTCTCTGGTCACACAGCTACTTTCTTTCTTTTTGGGCACCAGAGATTGAACCCAGGGGCATTAACCACTGAGCAACATCCCCAACCCTTTTTATGTTTTTTATTTTTATTTTTATTTATTTTTTAGTTGTAAATGGATCTTTTATTTTACTTATGTATTTACATGTAGTGCTGAGGATGGAACCCAGGGCCTCACACATGCCAGGCAAATGTTCTACCACTGAGCCACAATTCCAGCCCCCCTTTTTATATTTTATTTTGAGACAAGCTGTTGATAAATTGCTCAGGACCTAACTAAGTTGATAAGGCTGACTTTAACTTACCATCCTCCTGCCTCAGGCTCTCACTTTCTTGAACATTTTATGTTCTTTCACACCCCTGTCTTTATTTCTGTCTTTATACTGGAGTTTGAGCCCAGGGCCTCACACATGCTAGGCAAGTGCTCTACTGCTGAGATGTATTTCCAGCACTTTTTTTTTTTTTTTTTTTTGCAGGGAGATGGGGGTACTTTACCACTGAGTTATACCCTCAGTCCTTTTTATTTCTTACTTTGTGACAGGGTCTTGCTTTGTTGCTGAGAGTCTCACTAAATTGCTGAGGCTATCTCAAAATTGTGCTCTCCTATGTTAGCCTCTGGAATTGCTAGGATTACAGGCATGCACCACTATATCTGGCATTATTTTTTTAAATTTTGAGACAGAGTCTTGTGAAGTTGCTGAGGGTCCTGCTAAATTGCTGAGGCTGCCTGAAACTTGCACTCATGCTGCTTCTACTTTCCAGGTCATCAGGATCACAGGCATGTACACTGCAACTGTCTTCAGCCTTTTTTTAAAAAAAGTTTTTGAGACAGTGTCTCGCTAAATTCCCCAGACTGGTCTGGAACTTGGCAATCCTGCCTCAGTTTCTGAGTAGCTGGGACTGCAGTACTTCTGCGTCTTTGATTTGTTTTTCTTCTAGCCTAGAATGTAATTTTCTCGCTTCTCTATTTACTTCTTCAAAGCAGTATTTTACATATACTTTAATCCTTCCCTTAAAAATCATTGATACTCCTTACACTATGCTCCCACGATACTTGCTAGATATATTTTTATTTTGTAATATACTTATACTTTATTTCCTGTCTTCATCTTTTTTTTAATATTTATTTTTTTTTAGTTTTAGGTGGACACAATATCTTTATTTTACATTTATGTGGTGCTGAGAATCTAACCCAGTGCCTCGTGCATGCTAGGGAGCGCTCTACCACTGAACCACAACCCCAGCCCGTCTTCATCTTTAACATGTTGTGAACATAAGGACAAGGTCATGTCCTATTAATTTTTGGGGTGTATGTGTGTGCTGACACTTTTTTTTATTAGTTCTAATCAGTTATACATGACAGCAGAAAGCTTTTCGATTTATTGTACACAAATGGAGTGTCCTATTAATTTTTACATCCCCATCTTAGTGTTCCTTTTATATACAAATACTGACTTAAGAAATTAATAGATATAGCTGAGCATGGTGGCTCACATCTGTAATCCCGAGGCTTGGGAGGCTGAAGCAGGAGGATGGCAAATTCAAAGCCAGACCCTGTCTCTAAAATACAAAATAGGGCTGGTAATGTGGCTCAGTGGTTGAATGCCCCTGAGTTCAATCCCCAGTGGAAGGAAGGAAGGGAGGAAGGGAGGAAGGAATAAATTTTTGAATTTGAGTTGAGATGATTTCCTTATCACCCAACATGTGTTAGAGCTATATACTATCACACATCAATTGATAAACATTCAGAAAATAAAAAGTGACTTTTAATATTGTCTCAAGTTAAGTTTAGAAAGGAAATTTTTCTGGAAGGCGAAGGCAGGAGGACTATAAGGACTATAGGGCAGTTTGGGACTTAGGAAGACCCTGTCTCAAAATATAAAAATAAAAAGGTTTGGGGATATGGTTCAGTGGTAGAGCATCCTTAGGATCAATCCCTAGTACCAAAGGGGGGAAAAAAAAAAAAGGGAAATTTTCATGGAGAGAAAAATGAAATTTAACAGAATATTTTTGAACAAAGAATGATTAAAAAATCAGGAAAGCCTCAGAACAAAAGGTTCAGGGAATTCTGCTCTGCAACATGGGCAGTAAGTATTTCCACAACATTTTTCTTTAATCACCATGAATAATTCAATAATTTATGGACTGTTTTGTTTAAAGTTTTCTCTTTTTTTAGTTGTTGATGGACCTTTATTTTATTTATGTGTGGTGCTGAGAATTGAACCCAGTGCCTCACACATACCAGGCAAGTGCTCTACCAGTGCTATAGCCCCAGCCCCATTATTATTATTATTATTTTAAAGATACTAATGACACTGAGTCACAGATCGAAATACATTGGAAGTATTACCTTGATAAGATGGGGAAAATTCAGTTTTGTGGTTTATTTTTTGATACCAGGAACTGAACCCAGGTGCTTAACCTTTGAACTACATCCTCAACCCTTTTTATATTTCATTTAGAGACAGGATGTGGCTAAATTGCTTAGGGCCTCGCTAAATTGCTGAGGCTGGCTTTGAACTCACAATCCTACTGCCTCAGGCTCCTAAATAGCTGAGATTACTGGCATGCACCACTGTTCCCAGCAAAAATTCAATTTTAGGGCTGGGATTGTGGCTCGGTGGTAAGAGTGCTCGCTTAGCATGGCCAGGACCTGGGTTCGATTCTCAGCACCACATAAAAATAAAGGCATTGTGTAGTGTCCATCTACAAAAAAAAAAAATCTCTCTCTCTCTTTAAAAAAAAAATTCTGGGCTGGGGATGTGGCTCAAGCGGTAGCACGCTCGCCTGGCGTGCGTGCAGCCCGGGTTTGATCCTCAGCACCACATACAAAGATGTTGTGTCCGCCGATAACTAAAGAATAAATATTAAAATTCTCTCTCTCTCTCTCTTAAAAAAAAATTCGATTTTAGAGCAACTTCCACACACACACAAAAAAATCTTAACTTTAATCAATGTATATTCTGAGAATATACATACCTGAAGGATGACCAAAATCTCAGCATTGTTCTTCTCCAGGGCTATGTCAAAGGCAGATTTATCGAATTTGCTGAAAGCATGGACATCAGCTCCATATTTGATAAGTAACTCTACCACATCTCGATGGTGGTGCTCTGTGGCCCAATGCAAAGCTGTCATCTTCAGCATGTCCTTGGCATTCACATCTGCTCCATTCTGTCACAGAAAAGCAACTTTTTCAACAGAAACTGGTTATAGTAGCACAAGTGCAAGATCCCATCACCAAATAACAAGGATTTCCATAGAGATTACACATACTTAAACTGAGATAACATTTAAGAACTTAAACTGAGATCACATTTAAGAAATATAAAAGAGAAAAATGTTTCTCAAATTCTCCTGAATGCTGACAAGACATTATGCTTTCAATGACTGGGTCTTCTAAGGGACTCACTGGGAAATATTAACAGATGGGAGAGGAAGGGGGAAAGAAGAGATTATTGTTGCACTTATTAACAGAGTGCTGAGTGCCCCAAAAAACTGGCATAATATAGAGAATGACTGCAGAAAAGGAATAAAGAAAAATCAATAAAATCTGTTTAGACTTTAAAAAATTAGAAGACTCCTCATACCATGAATCTTGAAAGTGATATAACTCAATGTTTTAAACCATCTACACTTAATCTTTCCCACCTCAATTTCTTATCACTATTTAAGAAAACAGGGAGATCGATGTCTTTTTTACAATATAGCTCCACCACTATTCTTGCTTTACCCTAACAAGCAGTTCCACGATGTGCGCATGTCCATCAGCTGCCGCCATGTGCAAAGGGGTCCTGTCCACTTTGGTCCGGGCATCCCTGCTAACGCCTGCTCGAAGGAGCACTTCTGCTGTGGAATAATGACCGTACTGGGCTGCAAGGTGGAGGGGTGATGTTCCAAGCTGTGGGAAAATAATATTCATTGAATATCTACTGTGTGCAGAATCCTATAGCATTGATGGATTCATATGAAGAAGAGTTAAATCCTATGGTTCCTATCTTTGGAGAGAGAATCTAACTGGACAGATAGTGTTGAAGAAATAATTTAGCTTAAAAATTAATATACAAGCTGGGTGGGTAGCACACGTTGTAATCCCAGTGGCTCAGGAGGCGGAGACAGGAGGATCTCAAGTTCAAAGCTAGCCTCAGCAATTACATGAGGCTCTAAGCAACTTAGTGAGACCCTGTCTCAAAATAAGAAATAAAAACTGGTGAGGCTGTGGTTCAGTGATTAAGCACCCCTGGATTTAATTCCTAGTAACAAAACAAAACAAAATAAAAATACAATAATAGTCGTGCATGGTGGTGCACACCTGTAATCCCAGCAGCTCAGGAGGCTGAGGCAGGAGGATTGAGAGTTCAAAGCCAGCCTTAGCAAAGGCGGGGCACTTGGGGGCACTGTATGTCAGTTGGTAGAGTGCTTGCCTAGCATGTACAAGGCCCTGAATTCAATCCCCAGCACCCCAAAAAAGACGAGGCACTAAACAGTAAGACCCTGTCTCTAAATAAAATATAAAATAGGGCTGCGGGGCTGGGGCTCAGCAGTAGCGCACTTGCCTGGCATGTGTGAAGCACTGGGTTTGAGTCTCAGCACCATGTATAAATAAATAAAAAATGATAAAGATCTATCAACAACTTAAAATAATTTTTTAAAAAATTTACAGGAGCTGGGGCTGTAGATCAGTGGTAGAGCGCCTCCCTTGCACCTGTGAGGCACTGGGTTCCATCCTCAGCACCATGTAAAAATAAAGATATTGTGTCCATCTACAACTAAAAAAAATATTTAAAAAAAATCCCAATAATAATAATATACAAATATGCAGATAAATATATACCAATTAAATAAGTATGCAGTATAATGGTTATAAGTCAGGTAGATTTATCAGATTAAGACTCTCTGAAGAGGGGCGAGGGGCTGAGGTTGTGGTTCAGTGGCAGAGTGCTTGCCTAGCATGTGTGAGGCACTGGGTTCGATTTTCAGCACCACATAAAAATAAATAAAGGTCCATCAACAACTAATAAAATATTTTTAAAAAACTCCCTAAAGAACATTATTTTAAACAGGAAGAAGGTTTTTAAAAAATGCCAAGCATGGTAGTGAATGGCTATCCGGAGGTTGAAACAGAAAGATTCCAAGTTTGAGGCCACCTTCAGCAAAACCCTGTATCAAAATTTAACAAAAATTAAAAGGGCTGGGAATGTAGGTTAGTGGTAAAGTGTCCCTGGGTTCGATTTCCAGTACTAAAAACAAAAAACAAAAGGATCAAAAAGAGCATTCTGAGCCAGGGATAGAGGAAACGGCTAGACAGGTTCAAAACAATTCTTTTTTTTTTTTTTTTAATTAATTTATTTATTTATATTTTTTTAGTTTTCGGCGGACACAACATCTTTGTTTGTATGTGGTGCTGAGGATCGAACCCGGGGCCGCACGCATGCCAGCCGAGCGCGCTACCGCTTGAGCCACATCTCCAGCCCTCAAAACAATTCTTAAGAAAAGGGCAGAGACAAGTTACATGTGGAATTTGAGGTACAAATTTGGTTCGAATAGAGGTTTGTTGCTACAGTAAATAAGAATAAAAAGACTGATGAGATGAAAAGACCGATGAGGTAAAAATTTAGCAATACCATTCCAACAGCAATAAGCAAGACTGTGTCATCTCAAAATAAATCTTATATCAGCATCCATTTTGGAACTGAGATTTATTCCTTTGTGTGTGTGTGTGTGTATTACACCCTTTATTTTAAGCCTGTTCAGTTTATTCTGTGTTTCCCATATATTCCACTTCTGTGCCTGACTGGATTTAATTCATATTGCTCTTTTCACATCTGTTTATAGAAATGCTAATCTCAAGGGTTTCCTTTTCTGCCTTTTTATAAAGTGCTAAGAACCTGTTGACTTCTGAAGTTATGAATTAATAACCCCACAAGAGGTCACTCACTCATCAAAATTGTTAAAATTATTCAGTGCTTACAAATATGTGAATGGTAAGAAGGCCCACAGGTTCTGGGTTCAATCTCCAGCACCAAAAAAAAAACGAAGGCCCACATTACAACTTCCCAAACATGCTGATCTCCAGGCCGGTTGTCTAGGCTCATTAAATTATACATTCCTAGCCAGGTGCAGTGGTGAACTCCTGTAATCCCAGTGACTCAGGAGGCTGAGGCAGGAGGATCACAGGCTTGATGTTAGCCTCCACAACTTAGTGAGACCCTGTCTCAAAAATAAAAAAGGCTGGGGATATAGCTCAGTGGTAGAGTGCCCCTGGGTTCATTCTCCATATTGAAAAAAATTACATCTTCCTCTTTAATGTTTTCCAAGAGTGGCCAACAAAATGTAAAGACTCTTCCTTATGAACCAGAACAGTGAAAGGAAAGGAAAAGAAATACACTCTTGGGGATTGGCTGTGTAGTTCAGTGTTAGAGCACTTGCCAAGCATTCATAAGGCCCTGGTTGCACCAAAAAACAAACAAACAAACAAACAAACAAATAAATAAATAAATAGAAATGTACTCTTATTAGGGGCTGAGGCTGGGGCTCAGTGGTAACGCACTTGCTTAGCATGTGTGAGGCACTGGGTTCGATTATCAGCACCACATATAAAATTTAAAAAAAAAAAGGCTATTAACAACTGAAATAAAATGTACTCATATACTCATCTTAACTTCTTGGTAATTATGAAGCCTACAACCCAAGAATACTCCAAAGAGAAATAAACGTTTAGGAAATACTTTAAAAAACATTACAGAAAATCACAAACATATAATACCTTATAATTACCATCTATGTATCCCAGAGGAGACACTTTCAAATTGGAAAACTAAAAAAGAAAGCCACATATTCAGGTAAGATAAAGAAAATAAAACTCTTATAAGGGGAATGAGGAAGCAAGAGAATGAAGAAAAATAAATAATGTCTGTTTGGCCTTTAACAAAAAATATTGGTAAAGGCACACTTTGAATATAAGAGACCTTTCTGCTAAGCTTACCCAGTCTGTGGTAAATGGGGCACCGTTTGCCATTAATGTTCTCACTTCATCATCTTGGCCTTTTCTTGCTGCTTCTAGCAACCTCTTCCCCAAGTCCACCAAAGACATCTTTATGCATAAGAGCAAAACTTTTCAGGTAGCTATAATTCAAACACAAGGAAAGCTGCCTGTAAAATGTTTTTAGAAGACTTTTAATACTTGAATATACATATGATACATCTCATTAACTGGTAGGACTCTTCTATCATCTTAAACAATTAGATATTTGGGAAAGTTTTAGGCACTAAATGATAGTTCCCTCCCTTTTAATCTCCAGAAAAACTTTGGAAATATAAGCAATATATTCTATACATACTTTCTAATATAGGGAATCAAAAAATAACATTTCATACTCTTGAAATGACCAATGGTAGAATATTATTATTTAAAAAAAAATTTTTAGTTGTCAATGGAACTTTATTTATATGTAGTGCTGAGATTCGAACTCAAGGCTTCACACATGCCAGGCAAGCACTCTACCACTGAGCCACAACCCTAGCCCCAGTAGAATATTATTTTAAGGAATACAATATAAAGTAATAAAACATGAACTGATTTCCAGGCAGGGACAAAGAAGTGTGCCTATATGTGAAATTGCTGCTTGATGGAAATTATGGGATTCCTTATTAGCAACTAACAACTCTTTCTAAAGGTTTATAGATCTTTGGATGCCATAATGAAATAGGACACATCAAGATTTCTAAAATAAATTGCACTGTTAATTTTTCTCATCTGTGGTATAAAGATATAATGATGGAAGTTTACAAAAAGCAAACTTTCTGGTCAAACACTGATCTGCTTCTGGGCCTGATGGCATGCCTGTAATCCCAAGGACTTGGGAGGCTGAGGTAGGAGGATAGCAAATTTGAAGCCAGCCTCAGCAATTTGGTGAGACCCTGTCTCAAAAAATATATATTAAAAGGACTGTGGGGGGGAGGGGTGTAGCTCAGTGGTAGGGTGTTTGTTCAGCATGTCCAAGGCCCTAGGTTTGATCCCCAGCATCATTAAAAAAAAAAAAAAAAAAAGGCTGGGAATACAGCTCAGGGGTAAAGCACCTCTGGATTCAATTCCCCATACGGCAACAAACAAGGCAAGTTGTTAAACTGTGGTACATGGCCAAATGCGGTGCTACACACCTGTAATCCCAGAAGCTCAGGAGACTAAGACAGGAGGATGGAAAGTTCAAGACCAGCCTAAGCAACTTAAAGAGACCCTAAGCAACTTAGGGAGGTCCTGTCTCAAAATAAAAAAACAAAGAACAGCTGGGGATGTAGCTCAGTGTTAAAGTGCCCCTGGGTTAAATTTCCAATACCGTCCCCACAAAAAAGTGGTACATGGACCCCTGGTGGTCACTAACAATCTTTTTGGGGTCAAAACTATCTTTATTAGAATACTAAGATATTATTTGCCTCTTTTACCATGTTAACATTTGTTCTGGTAGTACAAATACAATGCTAGATATAGCTCAGATCAAATTGTGAAACTAATTTCCTTGTTATTACTATTATTTGCTATACTAGGGACTGAATCCAGGGCCTTGAGTATGCTAATTATTCTATTCTTCATTGCAATGTACTTTCAAGGGAAAAAAGCCAGTTCTATTTAAAAATATCCTTGATGAAGCAGTAAATATTACTAATTTTATTAAATCTTAACACCTAAATACATGTGTTTATAATTTGTGTGTGATGAAATGGGACATATATATTAAGCACTTCTGCTGCATACTTCAGTATGGTGGATTTCTTGAGAAAAAACTGTACAATTAAGTTGCAAACTGAAATAACAGCTTTTATCATAGAACTCCTTGTTTTATTTATTTAGTGGTACTAAGGATCGAACCTAAATGTGCTCTACCACTGAGCTATATCCCCAGCCCTTTTTATTTTATTTTTACTTTTAAGACAGAGTCTTGTTAAGTTGCCCGGGCTGGCCTCAAATTTGCAACCTTCCTGCCTCAATCTCCCAAGTAGCTGGGCTTATAGGCATGCATTACAGCACCCGACTCATGGAACACTCTTTGTATGAAAGAATGATGAACAAACAAATCAAAGACTCAGGAATATGACAGACGTTTATTTAAAAATGAACCAAGTGGGGGCTGAGGCTGTAGCTCAGTGGCAGAGCACTTACCTAGCACGTGTGAGGTCCTGAGTTTGATCCTTGGCACTGCATAAAAATAAATAAATAAAGGCATTCTGTCCATCTATGACTATCAAAAAAAATTTTAAAAAGAAATATGAAAAAGGGCTGGGGATGTGCCTTAGTAATTAAGTGCCCCTGGGTTCAATCCCTGGTACCAAAAAAAAAAAAAAAAAGGAAAAATGAACCAAGTGGGCTGGGCTATAGCTCAGTGGCAGAGTGCTTGTCTAGCACGTGTGAGGCACAGAGTTTGATGCTTAGCACCCCATAAAAATAAACAAATAAAATAAAGCATGCTGTCCATCTACAACTACAAAAAAATTTTAAAAATGAGTGAGCCAAGTGAGCCTGACACTACAAGGAAAACAACTGACAATAATTATTAGTAAATATCATTAATTTGAGCTTTCAGGCAAAAATTAGAATTTGGAAAGCCTGGGTTCAATCGCCAGCACTAAAAAAAAAAAAGAAAGAAAAAAAGGAAAGCCTAAATCCACCAAGGTGAACTCGATAGCTTACTACTTCTTAATGACTTTTCTGATGAAATCAGTGGTAATATTAATGAATGTGCTTTTTGATATTATAAAATAAAATGGACCAACATTTGGATGATATGCATAATTTGGTGAACCAATACTTTCCAATGACCATTGCCTGAAGTTATAAAATCCTGCACAAGTAAAAACATTCAAAGTGAAAGATAGATCAAAAGGTTTTAAGGTAAAAGAACACAAGTTCACTGACATGGTTTCAGAATTCTCATGCGACTTTTCTGTGTGTATGTATAGTACTAGGGATCGAACCCAGGAGCATTCTACCTTTGAGTTACATCCTCAGCCCACTGAGCTTAACCACTGAGCCACATCCCCAGCCCTTTTTATTTTTCATTTTGACAGAGGTTTTGGTTCAAGTTGCTTAGAGACTCTCTAAGTTGCCGAGGTTGGCTTTAAACCTGCAATCCTAATGCCTCCCAATCCTCGTGATTACAGGTGTGTGCCACCATGCCCAGCTGCCCTTTTTATTTTTGAGGCATTGTCCAAGTTGCCTAGGCTGGCCTTGAATTTGTGAGCCTCCTGCCTCAGCCTCGAGAGTAGTTGGGTTTACAGGCTGGTAACACCTTGCCTGGCCAATTGCCATTAATTTTTTAAGAAATAGCAGTTGTTGAGCTGGGGAAGTAGCTCAGTGTTAGAGTGTTTGTTTAGAACATGCAAAGCCCGGAGGCTCATTCTCAACACTGAAAAAAAAGAAAAAACAAAAAATTACCACCTGCTAAGTTTTTGTGTAGATCAAAAAATACTGACAGTTGTCTGAAAATGCTATTAAAATACTGTTTCCTTCTCCAAGTATTTATTGCAACAGATTGAATCAGAAGTAGTTCTGAAAATACAGCTAAGTCAGAAGTTAGAGATTAGTAAAAAATGTAAAACAATGCCATTCTTCTCACTATATGTAATTTTTTTAACTGAGATTTATTTTTCATAAAAATACGTTAGTGGTAGAGTGCTTGCCTAGCATGTGTGAGGTCCTGGGTTCAGTAACTAGCATTGCAAAAATAAAAAACAAAAAAAGTCTAATCGTGTTAACATTTAATGGATTAATTAAGTTAATTAATAAATTTTCTTTTTTTGGTAGTGCTAGGGTTGAATCCAGGGCCTAGTGCATGCAAGGCAAGCACTCTATCAACTGAGTATATCCTCAGCCCAATAAACTTTTTTTTCTTTTTTTTTTTTTTAAGTTATGGGGTGGACACAATGTCTTTATTTTATATTATGTGATGCTGAGGGTCGAACCCAGTGCCTCACACATGCAAGGCTAGCACTCTACCACTGAGCCACAACCCCAGCTCCCAATAAACTTTTTTTAAAAATATATTTTTAGTTGTTGATGGACCTTTATTTTTATTTGCATGTGGTACTCAGAATCAAACTCAGTTCCTCCCACAAGCTAGGTAAGCACTCTACCACTGAGCCACAGCCCAGCCCTAATTAATGAATATTTTAAAAAATAACTTCTAAAATAATAAATATCAATAAATATGACATAATGAAGTTCTCAATGATAATTTTTAAGAGTGTAAATGGATCTTGAAACAGGAAAATATAAAAATCACTGGCTTAGACAAATAATTTAGCTGCTGTGTGATTTTTCAATCTGAACTTTGTATTCAAACTACCAAGGTTGTTGCCTTGCATGCCAAGGCCCTGGGTTTGATCCCCAGCACCACAATTAAAAGAAAGAAAGAAAAGAAAGAAAAAGAAAAGAACCCCCCCCCCCCAACAAATTACCAGGGTTGTTTATTCAACATAAATATACCTAGCTGGGAGTGGTGGCACAGTGCCTCCTGCTATCCCAGCTATTCAGGAGCCTGAGGGAGGAGGATGGCAAGTTCGAGGCCAGCCTGGGTAATGTAGCAAGACCTTGTCTCAAAATAAAAATAAAAAGAGCTGGGGATGTAGCTCAGTGGTAGAGCATCCCTGGGTTCAATCCTCAGTACTGAAAACAACAGAAAACAACACAAACCAAAATGAATATACCTGAGATCTGCATCCAGGTTCTCTGAATAAGTATGCCCAGGAGAATAAGAACTTCATTTGTTTTTTAAAGTATACGGTGTGTGTGTGGCAGTGAGTGTGTTTGTGTGTGTAGAACACAATACCTTTATTTATTTTTATGTGGTGCTAAGGCTCAAACTGAGGCACGTGTGCTAGGCAACTGCTCCACCACTGAGCCACGTCACCCATTTTGTTTTATTTAGAGGCAGGGTCTCACCGAGTTGCTGAGGCTGGCCTTGAACTACCGACCCCTACCTCGGCCTCGCGGTGCTGGGATTGCAGGAGTGCGCTTATTTATTTTGAGACAGGGTCTCTCGGGTTGCTTAAGGCCTGACTTCAGTTGCGGACGCCGACACCGAACTCGGGGCCGCCTCTGCGCCAGGCGCCCTGCTAAGAGGCTCTGGCTTCATTCCCACGGAGCTGGGGTCTTCGGAGCCCGAGCTTTCCTCCTCAGTACTGGGGAGCCCATACTCAGTACTCGGTCTTCTCAATAGACTCGCGGAGCCCGTGCGGTGCCGGCGCGCTCAGAAGCCCGCTAGGATCAGGTAATTACTTTGGTTTACAGAAGTACTGGGCGGTCGTCCGCTCCTCGTCGCTAGCGAGGCAGGTGGGAAACAGACGCTTAGGAGCAGGGCTGGGCGGTCGGACGCGACGACCAAACGCGTCCCGGGTGGCCAGAAGCATGACGTCGTCGATTCGCCACAGCACGTCCTTCCCCATGACAGAAAGAGGAGCAGAGGGGAGGAGAGGCCTTTAGGAGAGGAGTGGGATACGGCTCAAGGAATCGTGAGGCCGGAGGAAAGGCTGAAGGGTAGAAAAGGGACAGGAAAGCACCAACTCGAGAGTCCGCGGTCGGGAGATGCTTCTCTCGGGATCGCACACGTCCCCGCCGGGCGGTCAGCCGTCCAAACGAGCGTCCGGGGATGCAGCCGGGCTCTCCTGCTCGCCCCCCGCCTCGCTGCGCCGCGGGAGTCGGGGCCGCCGGGCCGCCCACCCCCGCTCTACAGGGCCTCCAGCTCTCCACACCCGAGTTCTGGCTTTCTGAGCCGGGAGCCGAAGCTGGCGCCCAGGGGCAGCCCGCGCTCCGGTGCCGCGCGCCCCCTAGTGGTCACCCCTGTGGCCTCGGCTTCCCGTGGTCCAGCTCCGCGGCCCCAGGTCTCGCACCCACCCCCTTCCTCACCTCCGCCAGTCCCCTCCCCTTCCTCCCGCCAGCATCCCCTTCCTCTGCGTCCCCCTCCCCCGCTGTGCCCGCTCCGCCGCGGGGGTGCCTCTCCGAGCGCACCCAGCGGTCTGGGGTTGCACTGCGAAGCGGGGCGGCTTCTCAGGCACCTTCCACTCCAGCCCTACGCCCCCGAGAGCCCGCGCATCTCTTGGCCTGCTCACCTCCTCGTCCGGGACGCTGTCGGCTCCACTTTCAGCGAGCCCGCCAGTTTGGCCCCATTTCCTTCAGAAGCTAAGACTCCCTGTCAGTGACGGTTACTTTTTGGCCTTTTCATGTATGCATATTTTGGGGGCCCTTACCCCCCCTCATGGAGAAATGGAGGCAACAAAATGGCGGACCCGGAAGTGAAAGGGCAGGAATATAACTTCTGGCGGAGGAATCTCTGGTGAAAAACATTAGGGATATCACGTTTCTATTCGAGCGGGAAGGAAGTGCATCTCTTAGGCTCATCTATTTATTATTATTATTATTTCATGTCTTCTAGAGGTCTCTTGGTCCGGGAAAGTGTGTGTCGTGGGTGTTCTTGGAGGACTATTTAATGAGGCGGATGATTATGTATTACGTTCGTATAGTTCCGGTAGGGGACGGGCTGTGATGGCTGTTTGGCGCCAAGAACTCGGCGAATTAATTAAGAGGGATTATTCCTTGGTCCTGGAATTTGCCTTCTGTTTGTCGGCGGCTCCTACGGGGAACTAGCGTTAGGGTTGACGGGAAAGGCCTGCTTCCCGGTCCCTGTCTCGGGTAAAGCTGCGTGGGACGCTCCTGACTGCGCGGACCGGCTGGTGGACGCGTTCCGGTCGCGGCGCGCCGGGGAGGTCTCGGGAGGCGCGCTGTCGGAGCCTACCGTCAGGCAGTTTCTGCCAGAGGATGGAGCAGGAGTTTGCAGGTCCTTTCATTTAGCAGTTGATTTTCCATGACTAAAGGGAGCGAGAAGCCCGGAAAGCCTTTCAGAAATCAGTAAGTTAAAAGCCAGCCTCTGCAACTTCATGAGACCCTGTCTCGAAATTTAAAAAAAAAAAAAAAGGGCGGGGTTGTCGTGGCTCAGAGGTAAAGCCTCTCTGGGTTCAATCCTTAGTTCCAAAAAGATCTTAAAAAATAAATTACAATAGAAAGGACACGTCATTTGACCTTCCTGGTCCCATTCTTTATTAGACTTTGGTCTTGGTTGTTGATGGTGGCAATCTTCCCTTCCTTCAAACTTATCTAAGTGATATCGATGTTGTCTTTAAATTATTTATGGCGTTTTAATACTATAAAGATATTTTTTTTTTGTCTAGCTCAGTGTTGTAGTTTCAACCCAAAAACTATTTGTTAGTTTCATAGTTTTTTAGAATGAGGTAAGTTACAAATACGCAGATAACATATTTGAGTGTCAGTTTCTTTACCTGAAATGTTAGTAGTCCTTGGGGAAGCAGAAGAGTGATTGGTTGTAGGTGAAGTTGATTTCACCCTTTTTACCTAAAGTTCACCATTTAATGAACATGCTATTCAAATCATTTTTCCACAAAGTTGAAGTAATAAAATGTATATATGCTGAATGTGAAATTGAAAGCATGGCTAACTTCTCTGATCTGTACTGCTTGCTTATAAAGAGAGAGAACTGTAATACAATCCTGGGATTGAATGTCTTTATTTTTGGAAGGAGTGGGAACAAGGTGTAGGGGCAGAATGTAATTGCTCATTTCGGGTCTTAATGTAGCTTTAAAACTGTGCCTGAGGCCCACTGATTAGTACATTGCAAATGAGGAATGGAACCAAACCTTATGCTTTTCTTTAGAAGACCCAATCAGAACCTTACAAATTATCCTAATAGCAAGGTTTCTTCTTAAGATTTGAAATCTGATTTTTTTCAGCTAGAATTATCAATCCAAAATTAGAAGCAAAGTTGTAAGCTGAAGAACATCCTTTTGGACTATGGAGGCTGACAAAAGGATAACAAATTCAAGGCCAGCATGGGCAACTTAGACCCTGTCTCAAAATAAAAAAAATAAAATGGGCTAGAATGTAGTTCAGTGGGTTGGATCCTCAGTACTGCAGAAAACAAAGAATGCTTTTTGGAAGGAAAGAGCTTCAGCTATTTCTGAAAAGATTGAGTGCTCTTCCATATTTTCATAATATATTATTTCCTCATTTTATACCTTTACCCCTGATTTCTCTGGGGAAAAGAATGTATTATAAGAAGGAATAGGATTAAAAAAGAAGATCATCACCTTAACATTTTGGAAATGATTCTGTTGTGACAAATCATCTTAAAAATTAGAAGGTTTTCATTAACCCTGGAAAAAATAACTTAAGTTTACTGGTAACTACAAAGGTTTGAGCAATCTTTTTCTTTTTTGTGGTGATAGGGATCAAACCCAAGGTCTTACATATGGTTTGAGCAATCTTTGAAGCCTATTAAAAATGGGATCAAAACTATGTTCCATTTTGCACTACTCTACTACTCCCTGATGTCTCCACAAAGCCTGTTTTCTGGGGTTAATAATCCAGGGGGTGGGGGTGGGATTTCTATTATCCAGTACTCCATTGCTTTAACCCTTTACTTTGGTTTGAGGGCTTTTGAGAGAAATGGAGTAGCTTAGCTAGCTAGCTAGCTAGATAAATAAATAAATAAATAAATAAATAAATAAAACAACTGGCAGATTCATCAGCACCACCAACACAATAGAGGGAAGAGAACAAGATTAATTTGGGAAAGGAATGAGAAGGAAGGGGCTTGAAAGAGAAGACAATAAGGGCAAGGTGGTGGGAGACGGAAGTCTTGGCCTTAAAGCAAGTCCAATTCGAAGGAGTGGATGCTGGCAATGGGAGCTCTCCAGAAGTTGAAGGTGCTGTACTCTAAGAGGGTATCGCCTTCTGGATTTTTTTCTTGCTCTGCTCCTGTTGCTTGCCCGATCATTTTGCCAACGCTGCTGTCCTTGATCTTGTAGGTGGGTGTATCTGACAGACCCAGGCCTTCCAGCTCCGACAGATCCAGTTCTGGTATGGGCATCCTCCAGAAAAGAAAGGAGCTGTACTGGCTACTCACAGGGTCCCTCATAGTGTCCTGGAAAGAAACCACTTGTCATTCTTCATGCTAAAGCAATCTCTTTTTGGCTCCTGGCTCAAGCTTAGAAACCCCATATCTCAGCTGGGCGTGGTGGCCCACACCTGTAATTCCAGAGGCTTGGAAGGCTAAGGCAGGAGAATCATGAATTCAAAGCAACTTAACAGACTTGTCTCAAAATATAAAAAGGGCTGGGGTGTGGCTCAGTGGTTAAGTGCCTCTGGGTTCAATCTCTATTACCCTCTATTACTCCCTGCCCCCCCAAAAAGGGGGTGGGCCATGGTGGCACATGCCTGTAATTCCAGCAACTCAGAAGGACTGCAAGTTCAAAGCCAGCCTCAGCAATGGTGAGGGACTAAACAACTCAGTGAGACCCTGTCTGTAAAGGACAAAAAAGGGCTGGGGATGTGGCCCAGTGGTTGAGTGACCCTAAGTACAATCCCTGGTACCCCCCCCCCCCAAAAAAAAAAGTACTGGGGGTAGGGGGTGTAGCTCAGTGGCAGAGCATACCTGAGTTCAATCTCCCCTCCCCTCACCAAAAAAGAAACTCCATATCCTTGTTTGCCTCTGTAAATAATCCAAGTTCCCTAGGATAAGCTTCTGGAATCCTCCCTTTATTATAATTTTCTGCCATTTCCTAACTTCTCACCTTCAAATGGTTTACCTACTGCATCAAGTGAATCTTGGATCTGATTTTTGAGACCTTCCAAAATTTGGCCCCACTCTTCCTAGCAGTATAGCCTCTGGTAGTTTTGTTTATTCCTGTCTTGCTTAATTCCTTCAACTTTCTATTATATCAATTTTTGGTACTGGGGATTGAACCCTGGGCATCTAACCACTGAGCCTCATCGCCATCCCTTAAAAAAATATATATTTTATTTAGAGACAGGGACTTGCTGAGTTGCTTAGGGCCTTGCTAAATTGCTGAGACTGGCTTTGAACTCACAATCATCCTGCCTTAGCCTCCCGAGATACTGGGATTACAGAGCTATTGGGATTACAGATGTGTGCCACCATGCCCAGCTACAGTGTTTCTTAGGTTTCAAGACTCCATTCAAGGGGGTAATCATGAACTGAAATTTATTTCCATGCATATATGAGTTTGTCGGGAGGATGAACTCAACTACTATGTATAACCGTACATCTCAAAAAACTCCAAGTCCCTAGAGGACTTTCTCCTCCCCCAATTACTATATATTTACAAATACTTTGTAAATTCTGACTTTTTAAATTTAAAGGTCATTTTACTTCTGAAAAGCCTATTACATTCTGCTTTCTTTTTCCTCCTAAACCGTACTATAAGATCATTTCTTTCAAGATGACTTCCTTACACTTACCCTATTTCCTCCAGCAACTCCCTGACACTCTAGAGGTTTACCTGACTCCCATCATTTTGGGGTTACAGATCATTTATGTTTTATGTACAGGAAGAAGGTATTATTTCCTCCAACAGACTGGAAGCTTCCCTGAGGGAAGCTACCCAGTCTGCTTTCTGGGTACCACAGATGCTAGGCTTTATAACAAAGATATTTAAGGCTGCTGATATAATTATCATTAATTTAATATGATGAATACTTTACTATTCTCATCTATTAGTCTACCAATAAGTTAATCTGTTTCTCTCTAGCCTACCTCTCTTTAGAACAATATCCAGATGCTAGAATATACTTGAATATAATGAGAACAAATGGGTTGGCAATTCAAGGTAAGGAAGTAAAGTTTAGATTGGAAGCATAAGGTCTTTGCCATACTTTAATGAGTAAGTTCTTTCACCTTTTCTGTTCATCAGCCCCACCTGAAGTTAATGACTATTGTAGCTCCCTGGAGCCTCCACCCTGCTACTTACTAGCCAAGAAAAGTGGCAAGAAGCTTTACTTGAATTGTTCCCAAAGGAACAGAAAGAACATTCCACAGCTTTCAAAAATATAACTCTTAAGTTTCAAAAGACCTTTCTCCAGCACACCTCATTGGTTTTCATCAGGCCTGTGACTCTTAGTGTCCTCAAGTAGTTTCCAGAATTCTTCCACTAATGTGAAATATCTCTACTAAAGCGGAAAAAGAAAGCCTTAATCTAGAACATGGTGATATGAGCATGTGGGGCAACATGATGAACATTACTCAGCAGAGAAGCTGCTTATAAGGAGGGTGATGCAGGGACTGTAGCACGGCGGGGGAGTGTGTTGGAAAGGTGAGATCATCATTCTATGATATGCAGCTCTGATCATCTCCACAGTAATTTGCAGAGCCATGTATGCAGAAAGAGAGCTTGAAAAAAAAAAAATGGTTCTACCTCTTAACTAGTTTTGGCTTAGATGTGGAACTAAGATCCAAAGAAGCAAACCTTAGGAGTCAATAGTGTTACTGACTCTGCCTATTGGGATTATTTACTATACTATCAGGCTTTTCCTTATCTAGCTGGTTTCTTTTATATTCCCTCCATTGTTATGTTTCCTGCAGAGTAACCGTAGTATAAAGATGAACACATAATAGGTTCTTTAAAAAATAGAATCAACAGGGCACAGTTGTGCATGCCTTTAATCCCAGCAACTCAGGAAGCTGAGGCAGGAGGACTGCAAGTTTGAGGCCAGCCTCAGCAACTCAGTAAGGCCCTAAGCAACTTAGTGAGACTATCTCACCCCCCCCCCATACCAAAGTAAATAAGGAAATAAAATAATCATAAGGAAAAAATAAAAATTTAAAATTAAAAATGACTTTTAGAAATTAGTGACTTGTGAAACCTCCCAGTTTATGTAGAACTCAAATCTCATAATAACCTCTCTGATCCCTTTTGTTATTCATAGATAGTTGCCTACAGCTTTATATAACCCTGTACTCATATTCTCAAATTTTACACAAATTTAGTTCTTGAAGAACAGATATTCTGTGGGATAGGTACTGATTATTCCTGTGATTCTAATCTGAATAGTGAAAATGTAAAAGGCAGTAGAGAGTAAGTTAGAATCTGAGAAGAGGGAAAAAGCTCTTTGACACTAACAACTATAGTCTATATAAAAACTGCTCTAACAGTCCCTGAGTGTTTGATGATTTTATTTTACAATTTAAAAAGCTGAAGGAAACTTTGTGAAATATTAACTCAAAAGGCCTAAAATCTTTAGTTATGTCTTTGACCAAAATATGTCCAGAGAATACTAAATGCATTCCAGAAAGACACACATAAATTTATGTGTAATTAAAATCAAGAACATAAGAAGATTAGCAGAAGATTGAAGCTAAAATGTCAATGTTTACTAATGTAAAGACATTTGTAGTGATATTTTTAAAAAATATATTTAGTTGTTGATAGACCTTTATTTATTTGTCTGTGGTGTTGAGAATCAACTCAGGGCCTCACACATGATAGGCAAGTGTGCTACTGCAGAGCCACAGCCACAGCCCCTGTAGAGACATAATTGAGTACAGATTTAATTCCCAAGTCCTCCAAATTTTGTGAAGGATTCCTTTTCAGCTAGCTTCCCTTTTCCTTCCCCAAATGCTCTCCATCCATGTCATCTCATATCTATTATTTACTTATTTCAAAAGGTTTGGACACTTATCTGTACCATGATATATGCTCATTAAATGCTTTCCACTATCCTTCATTTTAAATTCTGCAGATAATTAAGGCAAACGTAATTTTGTAAATATCAGTAGTTTGAGATAACATGACTAATAAATGTACAGATTAAAAACACAGTTTTTCTTAGCCACACAGACACACCCAAATACCCTTTGTCCAGACCCTCTCTAGGCATCCAAGGCCTACTCAACCCAGCCTTGCTGTGTCATGCTGCCACCATGGGAAGCTGGGGAGAGGATGGATGTCGGTGGAGTTGCATGGAAGATCTGTGGCATCTCCTGTGTACCTCATTCTGAGCTTGGATTTTCCGATTAGCCATGACCTGCCCCCAGTTATTCTACTGAGCTGCAAATAAAAATCTGCTTCCATCAGTAGCTCCTGTGGATATGGATTTCAATATGGGATCAGGCAGTTCTCCAGCAGAGAGCTCCACCTTTCCTACCTAAAGCTGTTTCTTCGGAGCAAAGATTTGAGGTGGGGAGGAGAGTTCTGTTAAAAGGTCGGGAATACCCAAAAAAAAAAAAAACCACATTCCACCCCGCAAAGCCCTTTCTGCAGAGACAAGTAGGACACTATAGAAGAAAATTCAGAAATGGGGGGAGCAGACAGGGTGGTACTAAAGATCTACCAAGTAACCGGTGGGAAAATCGGCTCGAAGAGAAGACGTAAATAATCAGACCGAAGGTATGAAATGCACAGGCTCTAGGTCACGGGCAATGGAGACTTGAAATGCGGTTAAGCGCTGAGGGACGGTCACACGTGGACTGTTCCGAGGCTCGCCTGGGCACCTGAGGAGTGGGCATCGGTGAGGAGAGCGCGCAGCGGATAACGCCCATTGTTCACAGCGCCCCTTCTCCGAGGGTCTCCACCTCGAGCTCCTCTACCGCAGGAAGCCGCCCTCCCGCCCGGGCTTCCAGGCCGTCTCCCTCGGTCGCGCTTACCTGTTACCAGGGAACCACCAGCGCGTTCCAGAGAAGGGCCGCGGGCCTCCGGGTCTGCTGCGGACGGCGCTGGAGCTGCGGCGGTGCGCACGGCTCGGTCGGCTCGCTCCCGCTGGCGCCGCGGGGACGAGCGCGCCCGCCCAGCCTCCCCCGCAACGCAGCGCCCCCTAGGGAGCGCGGGAGGACCCTCCGCCCGGCCCGTGGCGCTCGCACCCCCGCTCGCGGACTTTCCGGCCCCTCGGCCGCCTGGCTGCCGAGAATGAGCGGTCTGCTGTTCTCTAGTTCACTGAATAAAGACTCGGGACCGCGGTGCCGTGGAGGAGCCCCTTTCTCAGCCGAAGGACTCCCGTGGTCACCTGCCCCTGTTCCTGTCGGGACCGGGCGCACCGGGCTGAGGCGCTTCTCGCCTCTCTCCCGCCCGGAGCCCTGTCAGGTCCGGGCTTTGGGCTGCACTCTGCCCCGCAATGCCTGGCGCATGGAGGCCGCGCGAGACGCCGGGGCCCGGTCTGGGTGCCAGGCCCTCACCCCGGAGCCCCACGCCCCAGTGCACCTGCGGGAGCGGTGGCCCTCAGGGCTGCGAAAGCCCCCTCCCACAGCCCCGCGGAGCCATGCGCTCGGCCCGGAGCCCGACGGGTGTCGTAATCGCGTCGCGGCCGTTTCCGCCCTCGGCCAGCCCCACCTCTGCCGGCCCGCCCTCGGCTCCCCCACCGCGAGGAGCGAGCCCGGGAAGCCCACACGGCGGGCACCGGGCGGGAGGCCCCTTCCAGCTGCGGCTGGGCGCCCAGAGGCCCGAGGACAGAAGGTGAGACCGTGGAGCGGGGCCTGGCCGCCAGGGCAGCCTGCCAGGCCGCGGAGACGCACCGGATGCTGGGGAGTGTCGGGGTGCCGCGACGGCGGGCCGGTGGGAACCGTCCCCGTCCACCAGCCCCGGCGCTGGGCGTGGGAGGCAGGGGGTCGCTCTGCTGGGGTTGGTGCGAAGGAGGGCGTCTCCGCGTCTCACCGACCATGGTGGTGGCGGGTCCCAGGCAGAAACGAAGCGAAGCACAGCCGGGAAGGCCTAAATCTGAGAGCGGGGCCGACTCGGAAGAGGGGTCTGAAGACCCCGGGAGCTGCCCATCCCTGCCCGGGGCTGGGAGGCCGAGGGAGAGCGTGCAGAGGTGCGGTCCTTGAGTTCACGCGCTGGGCGAGGGAGGCCGAGGGCCTAGTTCCGCTTCCCGGGAGCCTCCGCAGGACCTTTCCTGGGGAAGGGCAGGGCTGGTGCGAGGGCAGACGCCTGACACGGCCGAAATGTGGGTCCACCCCCTCCCGAGGGCCCCTCAGCAGCCCTGCAGGCTGGGGGGTCTCCCCACCGACCCCCTGCGTCCTGGGCTCGGAGCCAGAGTTGCCCACTCGGTTCTCAGTTCTTTCTGTTGCTCCAGCTGTTTCTTGTGAAGGCTTGTCGGGCCGCGGGTTGGAGGCCGCGGACCGGGAAAACCGGTTTGGGGCAACCACAGGACCAGGGAACTACCTCTGTACATCCTTCCTCCCTGGCACCTTTCTCCCTTCCCTCTTTTGCTTGCCCCTCAACAGCTTTGAGGCTCTTAAGTCCTAGTGTGACCATGATGGCAGTGGTAGTAATTTAGGGGGTGTCTTTACCAGTTCAATATTTCACTCTTTGGACTCTTGTCTTTGGGGTCCCGGTTACCAGTACTCCTTGGCTATCCGGATATGGTCTTATGCTGTGTAATCCTTGATCCTCCCTCTTATTTTCCCAGCCCCTTCCCTTTCACTGGGGGTTGAATAGCAGTAGATTCAGGCACCTCTTCTTTCTCAGCATACCAACTCAAGACCTCATTTTTCCTCAACCCACTATTCTCTGGCTACTTTAAAGAGAGTGACAGCCAATGGCTCTTCCTTTTCTAGCTTTGTTCCCTTCCCCCCAGCCCAAACCACCACCACCACATTCACCCTGTCCTGTCTTCACCCTCTGACCCCACCCCCAATTTTCAGAGACCCTAGGGAATGGAATTTCCTGGTCACTTATCATTGTTCATTTCATGCCAAGTCCCCCCCCCACACACACACACATTTTCCCTCCACCCCAGCTCTAGTCAGATCCCTGAAAAAGAAACAGAGAGGTCCTTGTTCCCTCCACTGCCCCTTTCCCTCTCCCTCCTCCTCCCCCACTCTTCTCTTCCCTCCCAGCACCATCCACCTCTGTCCACTCAGCTTTGAGCTGGGTGGGGAATGTTAAAAGTCCAGTCTCAAGTCAGACTGTCTGGTGGTGTTGGGGGTTTCCTCTTATTCTTCATTGTTTTCTCCATTTCCCCCCAACTCTTACCACCTGCCATCACCACCAATAAGATCAGCGCTGTGTCTGACTTCTCCACTGACCACTGGTCCCGTCCTGATTAACATCCTTTCCAGGGATGGGAAGGGAAGGGAGAGAAAGCCCAGACTCTTGGGTTCTTCCCACCCCATGGCTTACTTCAGTCTTTGTGTGATGTCATCATAAGGCTGCTAAAAAACAAACTAAATTTTTAGGTCATCTAGGGTGCCAGAGCACCAGGATTCCAGGCCTAGAAGGAAAAACAATTCCTTTTCATGTTAATGTTTAATATTTATAAGTTGGACCCTTTGAGGTTTCTGTACTCCTAAGACAGGGAAATGCAGTGAGAGGAAACTCAGAAGGCCTCTACCCTGCTGGCAGTAAGGAAGGGAGAAAGTTCTTCCTTGGACACCATTGCTACTGGAAAGTTCCTTGTGTCTGGTTGGTTGAAGCTTGGGGTGGAGGTGGTGAGGGAGGAGAAAACAGGTCACAGCATGAGGGGAGGTAGGAAGGAAGCCTGGGCCCTATAGAGTGAGGCAGAACAGAGCTGCACGACAGGACTTGTGAGGAGGGTGGGGAGGCTGGAAAATAATTCCTCATGGGATAGAAGTTACTCAGCACATGTGCAGAGATGATCTGGAAAAGATGTGTTTGGAGATAGGAACAGATTGTGAGCATGCAAACAGGTGTACACATAGGAGTTGGCAGCACCAGACAGATGTAACAGTGTACACAGCCTTCAGAAAGGTTCTCAAGGTCAGGTAATAAAGGAACTGCTAAGTGGTTTCTGGGAGGGGTTGGATCTCAGTTGAGAAAAATGAGAGGAACAAGGGCAATGAACTGAGAGAGGTAAGAAATTCCTCACGGAAGAGTCTTACTGTTTCCTAAGACCTAGGTGGTTAGTCCTCTCTTGTTCTTAAAGAAAATCTAGGTGTTCAGGGCAAGGTAAGGAAATAGGAAGGGACAAAGGGTGGAGGCCTTGTTTATGAGAACAAAAAACCGCAATTTCCTCTTCAGAGTCACTTAAGTGCTCCTCCCCTTCTGCCCTAAATCCAGGGTGAAAGGAGCTAAACCATTGAGCACCCTCAAATTTTGCTCATTTCTGTCACCATTCTTTGGTCCTCTCCCATCTTTTCACTCTAAGTCCCTCTAGCCCTCTTTTTCTCCCTTGATGCAAACAACCATTGCTCCTTAACCCCTTGGTATTCTTTTGTTTTTGTTCCTTTTTCTGAGAGTCAAATGATGTTTTTGCAAAACATTAGTCTTGAATACAGAATTAGGGGGCTGGGGATATAGCTCAGTTGATAGAGTGCTTGCCTTGCATGCACAAGGCCCTGGGTTCAATCCCTAGCACCAAACAAACAAACAAAAAACAGAATTAGGGCCTATAAGGGAGAACTGAGAAGATTGGGACTTATCTGGAGTTTTCTCGAGCATCTGTGAAGGGGATTTCTTGTTAACTTTTCTTTTTGCTTTTTGCTTATCTAGGATTCCAGATTTCAGGAAGACCTAACCTTGTACCTGCGTGCCTACTCCCCTTCTCTCTGGTCCTGTTAGACTCTCCAGCTCTGGAACGCTGACCCTCACTGCTCAGCTAAGGATCCTGGGGATTCTACCTTCTCTAAACATATCCAGCTGAGTAAACCCAGGGTGTTATTATACCTGGGGAGAGTAAGAAGTGGGGGGTCAAGGCACCAGAGCAAGAGCCCTCTGGGGCCTCAAGAAGAGAAGTGAAGCTGGAACCATCAGGGAATATGAGTGAATTTTGGCACAAACTGGGCTGCTGCGTGGTAGAGAAACCCCAGCCGGTGAGTTTCCCAACACCCCCACCCCAAAAAACTTAGTTACCTTATGCTGTGAAGTGGATATACCATCTAGGATCTACCTTCTAAAAAGCACACTTCTTGCCTCTCTGTCAGGAAAGTTTCTAGGCCAGGCAGATGTATACATACAATAAAAGGGTCCACGTGATGGAAGAAATGAATGTCCTAGCTATCACTTCCTGTTCCTGTCCATTCTCAGTTGGGCAGGGGTTGTAGGTTGAGCTGAATACCTGTCAGCTTTTCCCCATTGTTTCCTCATCAGCCAGGATATGACTTTGACATATCCTTTTTTTTGAACATTCACTCTGCAGGCCACTGCCCTCCCCACTTTGGTCTGTGTGGTCTCTTGTTATTCCACCTTTGTCTTTCATTCCCTAGTGATTTCCCTGTCATAATGCTACTTCTGGCCATTGGCTCCTCCCTTAGTCGTTTTCAAGACTCTTTCCCCTTCCTCACTGACTTAACTCGTGACTCCTTATCATCTCTAAGCAGAAAAAGAAAAGACGACGAATCGACCGGACCATGATTGGGGAACCAATGAATTTTGTCCACCTGACTCACATTGGCTCTGGGGAGATGGGGGCTGGAGATGGACTTGCCATGGTAATGAGGGAATGATAAATGCCTGTGGACTGTAATTTTAATTGTTTTTGAAAGTTTAAATGAGGAACAATACACTCAATGGGGAAGCAAGAATCTGGGATTCTAGTCCTGGTCACCAGCTGTGGAAATCTAAGATCTGGCACTTCAGATCTCTTGGCCTAGGTGACCTCATCTTTATAATTAGCATGTTCTTCATTGGGGTGGGGGATATATGTCTTAATAATTAGAGGACTTCTTCAAAAAATATAACCCCGGCCTGGGGTTATATAGCTCAGTGGCAGAGTGCCTGCCTAGAATGTGTGAGGCACTGGGTTCAATTATTAGCACTGCATATAAATAAATTAAAAAAAAAAAAAAAAAGATCCATTGTCAACTAAAAAAATATTTTAAAAAATAAAACATAGCCCTCCCTTCTCCTGATTAAGAACTGCTGAATCAGTGCCACAGAAAGTTATATTGTGGCTGGGAGTGTTGGAGCATGGAAACAGTCCAGCACCTCTATCCTAAATGATGTCTGTAATACATTTCTGCTCTCATAAAAAGGAAAATTGGTCTACAGATAGTGATGAAGTCTTTTTACTGATTAGTTGAACCTCATATGGGAGAATTTTTTTGTGAGAACTTATTAGTAAGATAAGTTCTCACAAAAAAACATCTTCACGAAGGCCAATATGAAGGGAGGGCATTGAGACTTCCCTTCGCGGAATGGTAGTTTTCACCTTTTCAGATTGATATTGTCAAGGAGATAACAGCACTGGATAGACCTCTTACTGTGGGATATGAACACTTAGAAGGGTATCTCTCTTGCACCTTTTTTTGGTTTTTTTGGCCGTGCTGGGGATCAAACCCAGGGTTGCTCTACCGCTGAGCTGTATCCCCAGCCCTTTTATTTTGAGACAGGGTTTCCCTAAGTTGCTTAAGCCCTTGCTAAGTTGCCCGGTCTGGCCTCAAACTTGGCGATCCCCTTGCCTCAGCCTCCAGAATAGCTGGGATTACAGGTGTGTTCCACTGCATCCAGTTCACATGTGTTTTTAACAGACAGGTGCAGTTCAGGAGCAGATGAGATCCAAGGGAAACCGAGACAGGCCGTGGAGCAATTCTAGGGGCTTATAGCCCCATAGGAATGGTGAGTGATTAGAGAAATGCAACACCTCAGGCACATGCCTGCACATCCTGATACCCTGCTTCAGAACCTGATCCTGATACAAGAATGGGAACTGGGGGGAAGAGGGAGGAAGAATTAGAATGGAGACAGAAATAGAGGAAAGAGCCCCTCTATCCTAAATAATGTCTATAATGCATTTCTGCTCTCATGATAAGGGAAATTGGTCTAGGGATGATGGAATATTTTTACCAGTTATTTGAACCTCACATGTATATGGACGAGTTTTCTGTGAGGGGATCTTATTAGTAAGAGAGCCATTGGATGTCATCTTCATTGAAAGCCAACATGAAGGGAGGCAGTTCCAAGACTGCACTATGTGATGCCTTCTCCCTGAGGACTTGGTTGAGGCAAACCTTCTTTTAAAACACTTTTTGTTTGTTTTTAAATTTAGGTTCTACCGTCTTGAAGCCCCTGCTTTGTGTCCAGTCCAGAAGAAATGCTGTCCCCACCAGATCCTTCCTAGAACACAAGGGCCCACTTTTGCCTATCTGCCTAATAGTGCCTCAAAAGGCATGGGGGCTGGACTCCCTCTACTCCCTCTGGCCATAGCCCCTCCTGGAGATGGGGTCAAGGCAGCAGGACTGACCACATGACTACTGTTTGGCCAGAGGAGCTCAGCTGAAGCCCTGGTACTCTAGATCTGAGCTAGGAGTTCTCTGGGAATCTGGAATGAGTTCCCTTCTCCTGAATGACGTTCTAGGTGCCACTTGTTTTTAAACTCCTGACCCGGAACTCCTTTGATGGGGTAGGTAGGTGGGATTATGCAAGCTGAAGCTGGCTTTGCTGAGAAGCTCCCTACCTTCATGCCCGTCTGTTTCCTCCTGGAATTAACTAAAGTAGATTTCAAGCAGGGGCTGGGTGGTCACCACTGCCTGATCAAGTCCATTCTTTCTCTTCAGATTTTAGACCTTAAGCTATAGTCCCTCAATCTCTGCCAATACCAAGGTCTTTCCCTAGTTAGGGCTCTAAATCCTATGTTTCTGTAGCATTACTAGCTTCCCAGCACCATTCCCCTCCTTTTTTTTTTTTTTTTTTATTAAAAATTTAATTTAAGACGAGTTATTTTAATTATCCCCATCCTGCTACTCCTACCTCTGCTCTTAACTTCATCCCTGTTAGGAACTTTATTGTTTCCCACTGAACAAGGATTAGGAGGTAGATGTTGACAGTATTCCATTTAAGTCTTGGGGCATCTGGCCTGCCTTCTGCCAACCTCCCTGTTAGCCCAGGTAAGAAGAGGAAGAGAGGGGCTGGAGAGAAAGCCATAATGCAGCAAAACTAGGAGTTATATCTCAAGATGGACTTCCTGACCATTAAGGATAGAAGAGTGCTGAGAGAGCAGTTGTCTGTGTTCAGGGTCTTTCCTCAGCATGGGAGCAGGAGAGGCTCTAGAATAAGGTTTAACCAAGACACAGTCGTCATTTGGAAGTAGGTAATTTATTTGGAGAGCTGTTCTGTGCATTATATTTAGCAGCATTCCTGGCCTACCCTAGTTATGACAACCCCAAAATTTTATTGTCTCCAGAAATTACCAGATGTCTACTAGTGGCAGAATTACCTACAGTTGAGAATCAGTTCTGGAGTCAGGATGGTTTTCCATCTTCTACCCTTCCCTAATCTGGTTGTTTATCTTAAGTCTGAGCCTTGAGTGAACTACAACCCCTTACAAAGTAGGCTCAGTAGAGCTGCACATAATTTTTTTTCACTCAGTGTATTATTTGTGCTTGCATAGGATTATGTCTGTGATGGACATGTATCATGCTTCTCCATTCTTGCTCTGTGGAAGAGGGGTTCCTGCAGTATGGAAACAGGAACAGGGTATGTTGGGATTGGAGAGGGAGGAGATAAAAGCAGCAGATATACCCTACTTATTGTTCCCAAGTTCTAAGCTTTATTTCTGTGCCCTAGTCCTAAAACCAGACACAAGACTCAGGAAGTTTTGTCTGAAGACCAGGTCCCACTCCCCACCTGCTCAAGGCGGCTTTAGATGGGAAAGCAATGTAGGAGCAGGGTCTTTAGGCACTTTGTTTTCTCAGGTGTTTTTTTGTTCTGACCCTTTCCTTGCAGGGTAATTAGGAAGGCCCAACAAGACTATTGAGCTCCTGCCTGCTCTAAGACAAGAAGGCTGGAGTCTTGTTTACCTCTGTAATAGGAAGCTTATTTTATGGTAGAGGGGTCAGGACTCATGGATACTCAGTGGATTGTGCTTGCATAGGATCATTTCTGTGATCCTGTAAAAACTGGTATCCACTCTGCTGATTTCACCATCCATACAGTTTGCCCCACCTACAGTGATTGATGTTTTAATTTTTTTCAAATTTCATTGTACTTCCTACAGTTTTTCAGGGTCTAAGATTGGTCATAGAGATACATTCCCAGTTTACTCTGTTCTAGGCAAGTTAGTTGTTCTGAAAATAGCCCACCTTTTTGCCCTAAAGTCAGTGGCCTGAAGGTGAAGTCTAGAGATCTAAAGGGTTAACAGGATAGAGTGGGAAGGGGGCTGGCAGACTCCTGACCTCTAGACACATCCTAATATATTCTTTGGACACATCTTCTCTTTGGTGCTCTCTTGCCTTGAGCTGCCTTCCTTCTCTAAATGTATGCTACCATCACTTTAATAATAAAGTGACAGGAATGGGTTTGAGAGTCATAATTTATATTAAAAAATTGTTAGACTTTTAAAATACATTTTTCAAATAAAAAATATAAGCAAAATAGTTGCAGAGTAATCACTACAGGTGTGTCTTGGATTAAATGATAGATGTGGCAGATGTAGATAACCCCTAGAGTGGCTAAGATGGGATTTTGTACCAACATTGCCTTTCTGAAGAGAGGGCCAAGTATTGAGAAGTCAAGGAGAAGCCACCATCATCTTTCAAGGGCTGGACTCCTTGTTCTTCCTATTTCTTTCCTTGGCACTTGAGTTTTTTAGTCTTCAAAGTACTTGTTTAAAAACAATATTGGAGATAAGGTATCAACATTTTATCCTGGGGGACATGTGTAGAGGAACAAGCCAGAGGCAATGAAGTTCAGTTTTAGGATTGAAGAGACTTATGGTCTCTTCCCTCAAGTACTTCTGTAAAAAGACACAAGAACAAACAATATTTTTTTTCAGTTTTGTTTTTCTGTACTAAAAATATCTAGTGGGTGCTGGGGATTGAAAGGGGAGAGGTTGAGATGCTGACACCTCCTCTTGTGGATGAAGTGGCCATTACCTCCGGTTTCTGTGTGTCTGAGTAAGGAAAAAAAAATAGAGAAAAGGGGAAATTACAACCACATCTACATTCTTTCTTTTTTTTCTTTTCTTTTTTTTTTTTTTTTTTTTTTTTTGTGTGTGTGTGTGTGTTGCCCAGGCTGGCCTTACACTAGTGATCCTCCTGTCTCAGCCTCCATAGTAACTGGGATCACAGGGGTTCACCATGGTGACACACATCTTTTTTTTTTTTTTTTTTTTTGCAATGCTGGAGATTGAATCCAGGGCCACACACATGCCAAGCAAATGCTCATAATCATTGAGCAGCACCCCAGTCCCCACACCTCTTTATCCTTTCATTGCTTTCCTCCTTCCACAGAACCTCATTACCTCAGTCTTACTGCTGTCCCTCTTGATGCTTCTTTTTTTATTCTCAAAATAGTATTGAACAACTGAGCAAGGTGGTGCATGCCTGTAATCCCAGCAGCTCAGGAGACTAAAGCAGGAGTGTCACAAGTTCAAGGTCAGCCTCAGCAACTTAGGCCCTAAGCATTTTAGCAAGGCCCTGTCTCATGAGATGTGGCTCAATGTTTAAGTGCCCCTGGCTTCAGTCTCTAGGACAGGAAAAAATATATATATATACACACACACATACATACATATACATATACATACATATATAGAAGGAGAAAGACAACAGAAACCAGAAGAATTACCAAGGATACCCTTTGTTTATTGCCTTTTTTACTTCCCTGTCATCAGTAGCAACTTTGACTACTTTATCAGGTCAATCAGAACCTTTGGTAACTCTTAGAAAAGGAAGGCTGTCTTTCCTTGAGAAAAGTTGCTTAAAAGAATCCAAGAAGGACAGTTCTTTGGGATGACAGTAGTTAAGAATATGGGCACTGGTGTCAAATCTGGTTTCAGTATTGTGGCTCTGCCACATACTAGTAGTAAATTTGTTTCTTTGTAAAGTGGGGACAATAGCTCAAGTTTGTGAAGACTCAGGTCAAGTGCACATAGTGAGAAACCTCACATTTTAGCTTTTGTTACTGTTCAACTGCATTAATTAGGTAAAAACAAATTCCTCCATGTCTGTTAACTGTGCATTAAGAAGTCTTTACCTAGGTTGGTCAATAAACATCTTATGGCCAATAAGACATGTTGCCAACAACCAATCAGCAGTTGTACAAGAAAAAAAAAGATAGCCAGGCACAGTGGTGATGTACACCTGTAGTCCCAGCTACTAAGGAGGCTAAGGTGGGAGGATCACTTGAGCCCAGGAGTTTGAGACCAGCCTAGGCAACATACAGAGATCCTGCCTCAAAAACAAAAGAAGAAATAACATGTAGAATCAAGGGTCAACAATAACATGAATAACAAATGCATGTTACGAATCAATAACTAAACAGGTCTAAGTAACAGTTCTTACAAGCACACTGGCTAGTTTAGCAACAGGATTGGGGATATCAGGACTTTTCAGAACCACCAACAAAGATTCTGGCTTATCAACAAAACACTTACTGGTTGCATCTCTGTGAACACTGAAGAGAGGCTATTCCAAATATCCTCCAAGCGCATTCTGACTTTTTTCCAAAAAACGAGACCTGGGCTAGGTGGGGGAGGTGGAAGGGTTAGGCGTCTGGTTTGGATGGGGGCCGTGGTGGTGGTGGTGGTGGTGGTCTGAGTGGTGCAGCTATTGTCAGAACAGAGATCTGAGTCCAGGGGGCACTCTTCCCGAAGCCGATTGCAGGGACATTTCTGGTAGGTGCAAGGCCGATGTTCTGTACGGATTTGTCTCAGTGCTCCAACTCGAAGTCGCCCAGAAATGCCCTGCAGCTTCCCGGACCGGGTCCGGCTCATGGTGCCTGACTTGCAGTGGCAGTGCCAAGGGCCCCAGGGCATCAGCACTAGTCTTAGATCCTCAGGAGGTGGCATAGCTGTGCGCGAGGTTGACGGCCACCCGCTGGGGGTAGACCCAGCTGTTGACCACCGGCTCATGTCCTCTGTGCTCAGTTCCCCAGTAGAACGCAAACCGGCGGCGGGTGGCAGGCTTGTGGTCATCCTGATTTCCTTCTCTTGTTTGTTGGCTGTTACCCTCCCAGTGCTAGTACTTATTGTCATAGGATCTATAGTGCGACCCTCCATACTGGTGTTATTCTTTCTGGCATCAATCACAACCCCCTCTTCCAAAGACCCATCATCATCGTCACCAAAGCCGGTTTCAGATGACCTGCTCATGCCTGTCACCGTGGCCAGGAGCTCGGCTGCTGCCGGGCCTGCTACATGATCTGCGGTGGCCACTGCGTCATTCTCATCCTCCAGAACTATCTTCGTCTTATGGGCAACACTGGACTGGGAGATGCCGCCAGTATTCCGGCTGCGGGCTGGGCTCCCGAAGCTTAAGGTGACCCCCTTCGTCCCTGTCCCTGTCGGGGTAGTAGTCGGGGTCTGGTCCTGGGCCCCCGCCGCCTGGAGCCCCAGACTCAGCAGTAGGGCCCAGAACACCACGCAGGCGGCGGGGACCATGGGGCTGGGTGGCTTGGAACTGGGAGGGAGGCAGGGTGCTACCTTCTCTCCCTCTTCCTCTCTCCACCAACCCGCCGGGTCGTTTGAACCAAGGCGGGGCGCTCAGAGGTAGAGGCGCGCGCCACACCCCTCCCCCTTAGTCCACTCTCACAGGGGCTCCCCTCCTGCAGCCCCACGGCAGGGGCTGAGCTAAAAATCCTAGGGAACCTCTGCAGCAAGAACTCTGTGCCAGAACCAAAAGGGGGATTGTGATGTAAGGGGCTGGGAAAACAGACTTAAATCTTGCACGGCAGTTTATTAACCGCTACAGGTATGAATTCATTAAGGTGGGCGAATACAGGTTTTAAAAGTACTGCTTCCCAGACTCACAATCTGCAGACATGACTTAGAGGGAAAGAAGAGCATAGAGGCGTTCCTAAAGATTTTGTGAGCTGCACCCTGGCTCCCAGCAGGCAGGCTGGCTGTGGTCAGTTAAGCCCTTCTGGCCCATCCAACTCCTCTCCAAGACTCTAGAATACCCAAGGTAAAACGGAGGGAGTCCTTCACTTATAGAAGAGGAAAATGAGACCCAAAGAGATGATATTTGTCCAGTATTCTACAGCTAAAGATTAAAAACAAGAGCTCTTCACTTCCAATGCACTAGTGACTCAGCCTTCCAAACCACAGATGAATTGAAAGCCACCCAACAGATCAAGTTCCCAACCTCAAAGTCCCATCAAAACCAGGGTCATGTTCAGGATGGCATCCCAGTGAAGATCCAATGGTATTGGAGTTGAAGATGAGATGATTTACAAGACAGATGTTTCCAGGGTTGGGATGTAGGCAGATCAGTATCTTTGTTTGGTTCTAAGGCCCTTTATCCAGTACTGAGCCATGGAGATCCTGGTCCAGCCTACGGCAGAGGGGCAGAGAAGCAGTCAAGGAGCAAGAGGTTGGTTTAGAAAAAGGAGTCAAGTGAACTGGAAGAGCTAGAAGACTGGATGTTTAATCAAATATTAGCATCTTTTGATCCCTAACATCCTCTTTTCCACTTGATATAATCATACTTACTGCAGACATATTCCTTCCTTATTCCTAGGGCTGCTCTGAGTCTCCTCTAACCTCTATGCTGTAATTATTTCTTGATGCTTCTGCATTTTTTATGTATATTTTTTTCCTTTTTTCTTGCTGAATGCAGTAGTGTCCTTAATTTCTCTGTGTGTGTGTGCAGTTTGCTCAGATACACCGAAACACCCGAAAGCAGGGTGTTTTAGTTCCTTTATATCTCCCACAAGGTGTTAAGAAAATGGGATTGGCTTTACACATCCCACCCAAACCTTCATCTTTAAGTGCAGGACTCACTGCCTGACAGCTTCAGGGATGTGGACTTGATCCAGGGAGATGAGTTGGGCCAGCTCCCTCAGGCTGTCCAAAAAGCGTATCTTTCGTGTGAACTTGGAACTGAAAAGAGAGAGTATATCAAATATGTTTTGTACTGGGAGGATGGTTCTTAGAGACCCTTACAAAAGGAAATGTGGTAAGTAGAGTGGTTAAGGCAAGAAAGGGCAAGATCTTTCTTAATTTTTATTTTGAAAATGGAGAGTAGGAGAATCCTTGTCCCAGACCTAGTACCTGATGAAGGGCCGAAGCAGTGCCAGAAATGCCTTCACATACCATGTGGCATGGACAACCACAAGGGCTCTCAGGTTTTTCCGAAGCCTGAAGAAGAATAAAATATCATCCCATTTCTTCTTGTTCCACCTTCAAACCTGAAGATCAGGTGGAGCTATCTTCTGTAATGCAACCATCTTCTAAAATGCAACCTCCTTGGCTAATTTCTAATATTCTCTGGTGACTGGGTATAATCCTCATTCCTTTGGCTGCAATCTCAGCTCCATCCATTGTATTCAACCTTCCAGCTCCTCATTTTTAGGAAAC